ACGTATGGCGTAAGAATGGCTCGGGGAAACGCACGACCTCATTTCACACGTCATCGCATTCACAGAACAATCTGTCACATGCCATATCCTGAGCAACGTAAACAAAGATCACACGTGAACATATGTACGCGCGATAACTTGCGGCAAAAACAAATCTATACAAGTCGAACCTGCACTGGGCAGTCGGTCTGCTCGTCGCAATTCGCGGAAGGCTAGTTTGCGACGGGAAATTTACATAAATAAGGCGCAACAAATGCATGCGAGTTGAAAGTATACGCAACTCTGCAAGGGTGTCCAATGTAAAACATAAAGTGAGCGCGGCATGCGATGTCAGGAGCCTTCTTTGTTTTTGCCCTCGACACATGTTGTTTGCTGCGGGAGCGTGCTTCGCGCACTATGTCTTGTGTAAGAGGTTGCAGATTGAGCTGAAGCTGCGGGAGCGTACTTCGCGTACTATCATTCTTTGCTGCAAAGGTTGCGCTTCTAGGGCTGGAGCTACAGGGACGCACTTTGCAATCTGACTGTGTGTCGAGAAGTTATTTGCAATTTTCAAGCTGGAACTGCAAGAGCGCACCTCATGCGCTACTTGCGCGCTGATAAGTTGCGACGTTGGGAGCAAGCTTCGCCAGCTCCTGGCTGCGAAAGCAAGACAACTTCCAAAGAGCAACCTGCAACCACAATTAGTTTTCGCACATCGACCACGCCGATCCCCGCAGGTCGCGTGCGCGCCGCGAAAAGTATCAAAAGCCCTCGCGGTCTTGGCGCATCGACCGCCCGGATCGCGGAGGGTAGCGAGCCAAGAAGTCACAAAAGCGCTCACGTTTTGCACATCGACAATGCCAATCCCCGCAGAGAGTCAGGCCCGATTCCTGCAGAGAGTCGCGCGCGCGGGCCTATCAAGTCGCAAACGCCCTGTGTTTGCGCGTCAACGACGCAGATCCACCCAGAGGGTGCTGTTTTAGCAGGGTGGACTTGGCCCCAGCGCCCCGCCTCAAAAGATTCAGTTTCCGGCCTCTCACAAGATGCCTCACACGAGCTGTCTCGCTCAAGCTTCCTTGCGCAAGATTTCTTGCAATGGCGCGAGCTCTCTCACGCAAATTGCTGCGCGTGTTCCCTCATTGCTCTCCGCGCCCTCGCGCTTCTTGCTGCACCTGAAAAACCACCGTGCAGACCTAAGAGATCTTGAGGTGAGACATCCGGGGCTTTAGGAAAATTCGCCTCGGCCCCAAGGGGGTCAAATCTCTTTTTCCAAAGAGAATCTTCTCTTGTCCCCTTTCCAACCCCTTCCACCCAAAATTTGTTTGGCCCCCCCCACCCCCCCCCTCACCGTCTGCACGTCTGCCGGCCCAGGGGCCCATGCTTGGGCGGGTTGCTGGTTGGGCTGGGCCTGCTTGGGTGGCTAGTCACACGCATCAGACAGGCCTGGCCAGCACACGACTCACTCCTGGTCCTTTGCATCGCCCTGCCCTTGCCTCGCGGATTCCTGCGCAACTTCGGCCCATGACATCCATTCCTGAATCGCCACCTGACCAGCTCTGCTGCTTGCAGTCGAACCACTGACGCTGCGCGCTCAGCCGGGCAAAGCGCAGCGTTTACAATCACCTCCGAACCTCACAGAATCCAACCTCCACCACAGGTCTGAGAATGCTAAACTCGCTCCCTGAGGGAGGACGGCGCTTGGCGCCTTGGACGGACGTACCAAGCGATCACACACTTTTAAGGCGAACGCAATGCAGTAAGGCACTGAACGTTTCAGGGGCCCTTGGCTGCAATTACCGACAACACACAATAAAGACGCCAAAAAACACAGGCAATTTCGGCAGAAGGGCCCCTGCCACGCCCTCCTGGCCAAGAACTCTTCCGGAGTGGGCCGACCAGACCCAAGAGCGAACCGACAAAAAAACAACGATGGCAGTGACGCCCAGCCCCAGGAACTAGGAGGGCCACACACACAAACACACACCCACACACACACACACAGCCTAAACCTTTGCGTAAAACCTCAACCATAAACACATCACAACCCTAGACAAGAAGCCGCGACACACAAACCCAAAACCCCAAACCAACCAGCCCCAAACAAAGCCAACCAGCCAACCCTAAACACACCCCACCCTAAACCAGCCCTAAATAGGTAAGAATTGCGGCGTCAACACGCAGCAGGATCGCACTTGTCAGATGCATGGTTCTGCTGCCCGCGCACAAGGGTGGCGCTGCGCACGTGCACGCGACGGGCGCGTGCAAGCATGGTGGCTGCGCGGGAAAACCCCGTCGAAGAGCTGAGATGCAAAGAAGACGTCCCGGCAGTTTCCAGTTGCCATAGTTTGTCGCGCAGTTCACCGCCCTGCTTTGGGAAGTGTGGGGCCTGGACGAAGCCTGCTTTTCCAAAACGTCGGGATATGAGTGAGAAGAATGAAAAACTAGACCACGGTTGGCCCGAAAGCATCACAGCCCCGCGATCATTCCCGCGCAAGTTTCTTGCTCGATGCGCAATCTGTCAGCTACGGGCCAACCGTGTATTTTGCTCGATGCCCAATGACTCTCATGATGACTCTGCGCAATGACGCTTTGTGCAGGTTGCTCTGTGCAGTGACTCTCATGATGACGCTGCGCAATGACTCTCACGACGACTCTGTGCAATAACGCTTTGTGCAGTTGCTCTGTGCAAGTTGCTCTGCGCAAATGCTTTGCGCAATTTTTCCCGCGCAAGTTGCTCTACGCAAGTGCTGCCAGAGCTGCCGGAATGTACTTCGCGCGCCGCCTTTGTACTTTAAAGTTGCAAGTTTGCAGCGTACCACGTTTGTACTTAGAAGTTGCGATTTTTGAGCCGGAGCTGCAGCAGCGCGCTCCGCGGACTACGTTTGTATTTAAAAGTTGCGATTTTTGAGCCGGAGCTGCGGGAGCGTACTCCGCGTAGTACTTAAAAGTCACGATTTTCCAGCCGGAGCTCAGGGAGTGCCAGCAGCCGCGCAACCCACGCGACAACTTCTAAAGACCAGTTCGCAAGCAACATCTTCGCACGGCGCCACAGCGAGAGCGCTTCGACACGCACGATCCCCGCAGAGGGTTCGTCGGGCGCTTTGCAAATTCGCACGGCGCCGCAGCGAGAGCGCTTCGACCACGCCGATCTCCTCAAAGGGTCGCGCTTTAACATCGACCACTCCGATCTCCGCAGATCGTCGCGCGCACAGATCAGAAATCTTAAAAAGTCCTGATCAGAAATCGTAGTCCCCAGTTTTTCAGGACCATGCCGATCTCCGCAGAGGGTCGCGCGCACAGATCACAAATCGTAAAAAGTTCGCAGTTTTTTAACCTCGACCACACGAATCTCGTAGAGGGTCGCTCGCGCAAATCAGAAATCGTAAAAAGTCCCCCACAGCAGTTTTTTAACATCGACCACGCCGATCTCCGCAGAGGGTTGAGTTTGATAGAGTGCTGTAGGCCCTACCCCGCCGCCCTAAGAAGAGAAGAAAGGAACTTAAAACTCCTCTCATTGAGAACTCTGATGAGCATTGCTCCTCCCCAGTGAGTCTCACGAGCATTGCTCCTCGCAAGTGACTCTCATGAGCATTGCTCCTCGCCAGTGACTCTCACGAGCATTGCTCCTCGCCAGTGACTCTCACGAGCATTGCTCCTCGCAAGTGGCTCTCACAAGCATTGCGCCTCGCCAGTGACTCTCACGAGCACAATGACTCTGCGCAATGACTCTGTTGATGATAACTCCCATGAATCCAACGGAAGAACCCGTCGCCATGCTTTCGGCAAAAATAGACAGTGCGGAAGGAAAAAAAAGCAAGGGCCTTCGCACTACGTGGCGGTCTTTGTTTTCAGGCTACTCGTCATCTAGTTCGCGTAGTTCATTGCACTCACACCAGAGCCTATGTTTTGTGGGCGTGGCCATCAAACATTGAGTAGCATGGCCCAACAGCCCTCACGCGTGCACATCTGACGTTGCCCAGCCATGTCCGTGAAAATGCGACTGGAAATGCTGAAAGGGCTCACAGCTGGCCTTCTCCCAGGCCGGTCTTGGAGCCGCAGGTGGATACCAGCGTCGCAGGTGGAAGTCGCGTTTTGTCCTCTTGCGCTTCGATGCGTCAGAAATGCTCTGCTCGGCAAGTCCGTCCTGTAAAGCCCTTGCTGTGCATCCTGCGGGCGTCTTTTCTCTAGCGACTCTAGCAGGTACTACACAGCAGGATATCAACTCATATAACCTTTTGAAATGAGCTTGCTTCTTTGCGCACACATCCATCCCGCAGACGCCTCGAGCTTCATCCACATGAAAAAATCCATTGAGGTCCTCCAAAGCATGCGTGGTAGCACCAACATGAGTAAGCGTGTTGAATTACGTGCCTTGTCACGGTCCAGTCTGTCAACACGCGCATCTCTTCCACAAAGGGCACAGCCAAATATCCCTGGCTCATGTAGGACTTGGCCAGTGGGACTATGACATGTGACGAAACACGTGCCTTGAAAGCCAGGCTGGGGAAGAACTGCATGCTGTGCGTAAGTCCAAGCCCACCACTTGTGACGTGTACATCGTACCTTGCCACTTTCACGGTCACGGCCTTCAAAAGCTGCATATCCTGAGAGGCCTCATTTGAAGCGATGTCAATGCCAAGTAGATCATGAAGAGGAGATAAAAGATCAGCTGCACCGAGTTGGTCATCCTTTACTTCCATCAGCGCAAAGTTTCTCGAAGAAATGAGCATCCTTGGTCACAACGTGGACCATGCCCAAACCTGCTGCATGGTCCTTGGTTTGAAGGTAGAGTTGCCAGCCCACCTCAGAAGGAACGCCGCGGGGTACCCAAATAGTTCAGCGTGGACAAGCAGTCCCGTGGAAGTCTTGCCAAGCTGCCTTGAGACGAAAAACACGTGCAGGGCAATCAATTCTGCCATGAGAAGAATCCTGCAAGGCTGCATGTTGCATTAACGCCGTATGACAGCCTGCTGATTTGCAAAAGGGTTTCAAGCAAACGACATATTGTGGGCTATGCTTTG